CTAATGAATGAATGAATAAATAAATAAATAAATAAATAAATAAATAAATAAATAAATAAATAAATAAATAAATAAATAAATAAATAAATACCCTAAGTCCTGGCTACTGCTGTGAGGGAGTAGTGTGGGTACTATACCCCAGAACGGCAGCTTGAACTGGCCCACTGGGGCTGATAGAGTGTGGAGTCCCATTTGAAAGGGCCATGAGGGATGTGAGCTTGAATGTTAATCTTCACATTGTGTTGATTTTCCACATGTTGCGCTTCATTTCAGGATTAAATGGCTTCAATGTGCTCTTATCTGGCAGTCAGCCCACCCATGCCGTGGGGCCATCTTCAGGTCAGCTGCCGTCCCTTGGCGTTCCCTGCATGATCGTACCATCACCCACAGTGGGCCCTTTTCCTGTTCTCTATTCTCCCACTGTGCCAGGGCCGGTTGCCTCTGCTCCTGGCTCTCTCCCAAGCGCAGGACCTGTGAACTTTGGCTTGCCTGGCCTCACATCAACAGCTCATCTTCTCATCAGCCCGGCAGCCATGGTTAATCCAAAATCATCCACACTCACTTCTGCAGACCCCCAGCTGCAGGGTCAGTGCGCACTGAACCTGAGTCCGGTGATCGCAAGATCACACCACATCATCCAGCCCGAATCCCCCATCTTCGGGGCACATCCAACCTCTGTAGTAAAGTTACCACAGGTGAGTTGGGTACAAAAAGCTCATCTCTGGGATGGGCTACACATTTATTTAGCTTTGGTCTGGGTCACGTGACTGTAGGTGGTGGTTCGAGACCAGGATCTTTGGTTTCCATTGGAGACCCAGAGTCATCCACCTGTTTTATAAAGCAGACAAACATAAGCAAGCACCTTTGTGCTTAAAGACAGAAATGTTTCGTTGTCAATCTGTTTCTTAGATTTAGAGGGACTTACTTTAGATAAACTTTGGGAGATGGGGGCTTTGGTGAATGTTAATATTTAGATGATTTCTTCAGGGTTTCATTTCCCTAGGGTAATTAGGAGATCACCCTGAATGTTCATGGTACAGCTACAGACACAATTGAAGGAAACAAGAGTCTTGATAATGACATAAAGGATTTTAGCATCTGTCCTTTCTTTAATGAATTATTTAGAAAGAAATGTATATGTATACACTCTCATAAAATATATGCAGATGTACATATGCAAGTGTAAATAATCAATATAAATCAGCACCCTATTTGCCTCACACACTCCCATTTATAGTTTAGTCAAGTAGTGTTTGTTTAATTACTATTATGCAATAGACATTGTTCAGTGATTACTTTCTTTTCCAGAAAAAGAGTTGTATTGTGGCCAAAAAAAATTTTCTTTTTTATTATAAAAGTTTATTTCTACATCATTTTGTACATTTTTTTTTTCCATCTCAATTGTAATCCCCGCGGGTTCGTGGCCAAAAAAATTTTAAACAGGTATTCAGAGGCTTAAAAGTTTGCCAAATTGAGATAAAACATGTTGATTTTTAAGCTTTTTGATCATCGGTTATGTGCCAGGCACTAATCTAGGCAGTGAGAGAGAACAATGAACAGGATAAGCTTCCACCCTTTTGGGGCACATTAAATGGGTAAATAATTAACTTAAATGTGAGAGGATGGATTTTAGCAAACAATCATAAAAGGCCAACACACCTTACACTAATTATTTGCTTAGAGTGCTCTAAATTGCCTTTATTATAAATGTGACCCTTCTCAATTTTTACAATGCTATAAAGCTGGTACTTTCATCATCCCCATTGCCTGGATGAAAAAATTGGGGGACAGACCAGTTAAATAACTTGCCCAAGGTCACACAGTTAGTTATGGCAGAATCCAGACCCTGACTGCCACATTCGGAACCGCTTTTCTGTACAAAACAAATACGAAGCTAATTTCCTAGTGTGAAAAAGGAGATTAAAATAGCAAGAATGTGATAGATAGAAAGCAAAAAAAAAAATGGGGGGTGGGGGATATTTAATGAAAGAGCTTCCATGTCAGAGCCAGAGAATAATTTGGCATCACTTCTGTCTTTATTTACTCCTTTCCCCCTGTAGTCACCAGCTCCAGTAACTCCCAAGAGCGTCCGACGCTCACATCGTGAGACATTTTTCAAGACACCTGGCAGTCTGGGAGACCCTGTCCTAAGGAGAAGAGAAAGGAATCAGTCACGAAACACCAGCTCAGCACAGAGGAGACTCGAAATACCCAGCAGCAATGGGACTGATTAACCTGATGTTTGCCAGGCAAGGGTGGGATCAGACCATCTGAATTTCCCTGTTTCACAGGTCATCTCCTAATGCTGAACAACAGAGAGCAGAAAGCACACCATCTAGTCTTCAACACGCATCCTCCCTCTCTAATGTTAACTTCCCATTATCATGAATCATCTTTTTTCCTGAAAGTAATTGTTATTAATTGTGCATTTAACCCAGTTAGAGTCCAGACTGCGCACGGTGTCACAGTGAAAGCACCGACTGACTGTTGTGGTTTTTCTTCAAGAACCTTCTTACTGCTGCAAGTAGATCTGAACAGGCTGCTGGAGCCTTGTGGTTTTTCTGAAGGGGGGGAGCCCTGTCTAGCACTTAACTCGGGTGAGCATTCTTGACATGTAATTCCATTCACCCTGAGTACATCTGTGGTGAGAGAAACTTCCTTTCTGAGGTTTAAAGAGCTCCTGCTTCCTTCGGCTTCATCAGGAAGCCAACTTCAGTTGTGAACCCTACGGTATTATTTATTTTGTTCCTCAAATGGGATTTGGTGCAAGACGTTTATAGCTACAGAAAAACACATAATTTTCAGGGTATGACGACTTGAATGTTTATACTTTTTTCCTACAATTTGCCCTGCACTTACTTTACAACCTAGTAATAATGTGGATAAATGTATATTCATGACAAAATGTCAAGACCAAAACAACTGTGAGAGATATACCTGCTATAATGAACTGTGCTTCCTTTCTGGGCATGAGAACTAAGATGAACTTAGCAGCCTAAAAGCTGCCTCTCCAGTACCTATGTCAACGGTGAGTTTTACAGTGCATTGGTAAAAATCCTTCCAGGCTCAGTTTTTCCTTCACCGTGTGCCCCTGTGGCTTTTATTTAAATGTTCACTGTAGAGTACTAGGTATGTATGGCTTCTGACAGTTGCTGTCTATTAAATAAATCAAGATGGTAGAAAGGAATTTTCTGGAAAATTGGAATCTGAATGGAATCTTTGTAGAAATCTGAAGAGTAACAATGTAGAAATTGATATAGGACACTAGGTGGGTTTTTTGTTTTGTTTTGTTTTTCCTTTTACTCTTTTTCTTCCTGTTTGGAAGGGTCAGAGGGAAAATGGACACTACTCAGTAACCAAGAGCATTTAAACCAGAATGTATGGTACTTCTGTAGAACAAGAACGGAGTGTGCAGGGATTCATTTTTCGATCATGAGTACAATTCTGGAGATTGTTAAGCAATACCCTTCTGTTAAACCATATTACTTTAGGGTTTCATTAGGTAGCCAAACTAGATTTTTGTATTCCTAGATTTATTGGTATTTATCTCACTCTCGTCTCTCAAAATAAATGGTTTGCTCTCTCCTTTCTTTCTTACTTCCTTCCATGTATTTTTCTCTATCTTCCTTCTTTTCTTCCTTAACTGCTCCTTTCCTTTTCTTTCTGTATTTCTCTTTAAAAAACAAAAATTCATAAATTTGGAATCCTGATAGGTGTTTTTACTTTTGGGCCCAATGAAATGTTATATGAAAGAATAAAAATATTAATTTAAGAGACTCTGGGAGTCTGACTAAAGTAGCTTTATATTAGCTACAGGATAATATTAGCCTTAGAGATTTTTGAAAACTTGAGGTAGGTACCCAGGTTAAATACATTTGCTATTATATAAAATTTTTATCAACACTAAACTTTTAAAGTTTACAAGATGGTATTCTTTTCCTATTTTTAAGGTCTTTTATAGAGTAAAAAAGATTAAAATGTAGTTCTAGTTATCAATAATTGCATGGTAATACCCTGATTCATATGCTGGGTTCCCTATGGAAACAGATTAAAATAACCTTTTTCAGGTAGATTTCATATATGTGGCACATAAATCCAGAGTATATGCAAATTAAATACATCATGCTTAAGACCTTCCATAAAACATTTTCATCAAAGAGTCTTATATTTAGGTGAAAACACAACCTGATTTTCCCCTCCACTTAACTGTCTTTGATCTTTTTTATTCTTGCTCATGACCACATAAACCTCAGAGAATTTACGGTTCTTGAGGGCTGTGAAGAAACAACCCCATAAATAAGAATATTACGTCTCTGACCATACTGAGCAATAGAAAATAAAAGAGCAACGCTTTTGTATCAGTACCCACTTCTTAATGTAGCTTTGTGATATGTGAAAAAAATAATGCAGTGGTTGTTTTCTGTCGGGAAAACAAATCCTCCAGAGCCACTGATCAGAGTGACGCTGCTGAGCTAGACTTTGGTATTTGGGTAGTGGAGAAGCAAAGGCAATCTTGAATCTATCCTTGTATACTTTTAGTAAAAGAAAAGTAATTGTCAGCCATCCTGCTAAGGAAATGCAGCTTTGAGTTGGCATGAGGATGTGTGTGTGCCCTCCACTGTCCAGGGTTTCTGAAACCCTTTTATTCTGGTACAAGAGTTGAGGGTATAACTGTTAATACTTGAATCTACCTACCAAGTTTACATTTCTCAATTCCCTAAGGTGCTATTTCTGTAATTTAAATAGCTTTTTTTCCCCCAATGTAAAGCTGCTTTCTGTTTATCTTATTGCACTGCTAGTTTTATGTAGCTGTTAATTTTATTGCTGCTTTCTGCTTTTATTTTCATATTACTTAGTTCTCTTTTTTCCCCCTAATCGCTATATTGCCTATGGCTGTCGACTTGTTAACTTTACTACATATAAATTGATTTTTTTCTCACTTAGAAAAATATTCAACTTTATAAAATAGCAATAAAAATTAATTCATTTAATAAGAGATATTGATTGTGTTTGTTGGTGGAATTCTTTTCAGTAATATCAACAGTTGCAGCATAGCTGACCTGACTTTAATCAATCCAATTCATCTTTCTGTTGAGAACCGGTGGCTCTGGCAGAGTTGAAGGATTATATTATTTTTGAGTCTGATTTCTAATAAGAATCCCTGTGGGTTTGGAGCTTCTAGAAAGTGCTGATGTTTATCCACTATGAGCATCACAGGGAATGCAAATCACCTTCCCAACATTCCATGATGTCTGCAAAGTTAAATACTTGTCAGTCTAGCAAGTATCCACCTTTAGTTCAAAGCCAACTTCTCGTTAACCCTCACTTTTAAATGGACCTCTTAATCTGATTTTTCCCAGATTCTGTAATCTCCAAATATATCTGTTGCATGTTCTCAATCTCCTCTGCTAACTTGTAAGGTGATAGGGGAAACAACAGCTTTGAAACCTCAGTATCAAGCTGGTGCTTGGTATCTGTTGAGTCCCCCAGAGTGGAGAAAGGAAGTGCAAGACCCTCCCACAACTGACTTACCCCTTTGCCATCTTCAGTTTGATTTGACTTGTGCCTCTCCATTATATTGAGGCTTCTTCCAACACATCACTAATCCCAATCACTATCCTTCTCACAAGACTAAAACCACAGAGGATGAACTTACTTCACAACACCAAGATTAAGATTTTACTAGTATGCATCCACTGGCACATTATAACAGGCCCGGCTATATTGTAGGCATTTACCAATATCAACTCATACTTCATCTGGGTTGTTTTAGCAATGAAAACATTACATTGGACAAGCAGAACTCATGGGGTAATTATGAAAGTAATTTTATTCCCTAATGTTCCTTTAAGCCTGGCCAGTGGGGTGACCCATTCACCCTCATAGAAAATTGTTAAATGCTGTGACTTCTCTGGCTACTGCACATAATAGAAGTTCTAGTTATCTTGAGTTACAGTCTCAATTCATTATGTAAAATGAGCATTTGAAATTCATGCAGCGGGGCTTGCTACAACCTGGTCATTTTAGAGAGATGAGGGTGTGGTCTTTGGTCTTCTCATGGAACATTCCTCCTCCCTCAATGTTCTTGCCTGCACTTCTCACCCCAGGTCAAAGCAGAGCAGTGGGAGAGGTCAAGGCTGTAGGCTTCTCATGCAGGAGAGCTAGCAAATTTTGAACTGATTCCTGAGCTTGTGATGCAAGAAATGCACGTTCCTCCTGTTGCTATTTTCCTTTAGCCCCTGGTTTCCCTGAAGCTGCTGCACACAGACTCATGGCCAGATTTAGAATAGTCAAAGGCTGATAGCTCACATCTAGTGACCTTTGCTTTGATTTTGAAATGAGAGCCCAGCAAAATAACAACCTCTCTCTCCCTTTGCTGCTAAAGCTGCTAGCACACTCTTACCTGCCAGAACCTTTAGACCAGAGTCAGATGTTAGAACATGTCTCTAACTGCAGGAGACGAGAGAGGAACACCTCCCGTTAGTGACTTCAGGGTGGTAGAGGCGAGGAATCACCTAACTCCGAAGAAATCACCATAATATCCTTTTTGGTTTCATTTGCTCAATACTTGCAAAGTCTTGGACCGCTTTGGTGGTGCAGCCATTAAAGTCAACCCTATCAAGCTATCATAGCCGCTGAGGCATGAGTTCCATCCCCGGCCACATTGCTAACCCACAGGCCACAGCAGACCTCTCCTGTTTTGCCCACTGCTCCCCTCAGCAGTGTATTTCAGTCAATCCACTTGTTCTGCTCCCCACTTTGTTTCTGGTGAATCCTGTTGCCCCACCCCCAACACTTGGCCTATACCCCAGTTTTTGCATGCGTAAGTAATTAAAAAAATAAATCTTTAGGGAAAAAAAAAATACTTCCAAATCTTGTGCGTGAAGTTCCCTAGCTGTGTGACTGGTTCGTTTAACACCTCTGTCAATTCTTTGGAATGTAGCATTAACTGTAAGACAGTCTCTCTTATTAATCTCTTACTCTCTTAAACCCAGCAGAGTTGCTCTGAGCACGGGGTCCTGTTCAGCTGTACTGGAGACCAGCCTGGTACCAGCAGCTGGAGTGGAGTGGAGTGCTATTTAATATGTTACGACAGTCTACTTTTTATATTTCCTCTTGCAAACAGAAGTCTCTAATAGATACTATAGTAAGAAAAATTATTGCCCATTGTCCATGATTTTCATTTTCCTAAGTGATTGGTCAGTCATATTTCATCCTTACAACACTGAATTTT